AAATACTTGGGTGTGTTAATTTCTTGAACTATCATCTTTTCGGTCAATATTAAATTGTACCATAAAAAGAAGCAACCAAGAATGACGCTTCTGATGGTTAATGACCAGAAAATACTTTACAATTTTCTCACATACTTGATGTTCGTAATGTGATGTCTAAACCCTAAAACTAACAAAATTCACCTTAATCCAAAGTTGTCATTCTTTTATTTACTCTAATAACTAAATTCAACATCAACTTCAAACACCTTACTTAATAAATATTGATAGGCACACAAACTAGTTTGAGATCTCTCCTCAAGATCAAGTGATGGGAATGCATTTCAATCTGATGTTTCTTTAATGAACTCAATGAAATCCCTGTACAATAAACCTAACATAAATAACTAACTAACTCAATATCGAACCATTTGTATATAGTTCATTTCACTAAACAACGAAATCAAACATCGAATTTCAGCTACTCTACGTCTATTTAAATAAAAAATATCAGCGACAAAGATAATTTATGGATGAGTCAATAGGATTTAAGGTATTAAGTCTTGAATTTTTACGCAAAATTCAATCGTCTATATGGTTGAGCAGCATTTTGTCATCATGGGTGATGTCACTTCGTGGAGAAAACCCCAAATCTAATTAATAACCTCATTTTCCAACTCTGAATCTTAATCCTATTTCCTCATACTAATCCATAACATTGTTTTGACCCTAATAAGTGACTGAATTTTTTTAAGATCATTGCGACATCACTGAAAGTTCGTCGATAAATTATATTCTCATCGAATAATTTTTGATATATCTATTACACTACTTCTCTCGGAATTTATTTTACATTTGTTCCAATTGCTTTGAACAAATGGATTTATACAAAAAGATTTATTTTAATAAGTGGCCATTTAACAATCTCCATGTCACTTGCCTTGTTAAAGTTTTGAAAGTTGTTCTCTTATTTCACATTTTCATTCAATAAAGTCTACTTAGTTTAACCATCAAGTTCTATAAATGTAACATAGATTACGGTTAAATTGAAGAAACCAGCATATTGATCAACTGAATATTAACATTTCATTAAGCTGATTTGTTTATATACTTAATGGATCTCATTTTTGAACATCATGTCTGAGTTACCGCTTCAATTATTCAGCAAAATAAATATACACAGTGCGAAGAAACAGAGGAGAAAAACGAATGAATAACTATCATATCATATTCAATGTGACAGACCTATTTTGTCATGCAGATCAATCATAAACCCTATTTTAACATAAGTGAACGCAATAATAAGTATATATTTTGTTACATGCCAATAAGTGGAAAATTTGATTTCTTATATTTCAGGACTTAATATAAGCCACTTTTTCAGAGTAAATACATAACCGAAATAAAATGAACATAAGTTTAAATAGTGCAAAAGAAACAAAGTGGAATATTTTGCGTACAATCAAAATCATTTTAGATCTGAATATATAAATGTCAAGTTATGTTTGATCAAGTTGAATTAGTATGATATGTCATTGCGTTAATTTGTGTGTCAGAAGGTGGATATGAGAAATGTAAACATTTTTGGTAACCCCATATATGCTCTATCTTAATATCTAAGCAGCATACTGAAGCCATTTCAACATAGCTTCATTAATGTTGTACAGGATTCATAAGAATTAGAATCCAATAACTGGTTATTATTCATCAACGATAACGAAACAATGGTAAACAATGATGTTGTAGCTTTATGCACTAGTATTCCAATTGATAAATGCATAGACTTCGTCAATGGGTTACTAGAGAATGAAAATACTCTATCTAGCAGATGTCCATTAAGCATTAGTTCAGTCGTGAAATCGCTCAAACTGTTCTTGAATTCAACAATGTTCATTTTCACAGGGACTTTCAATAAACAAACAAAAGGAGTAGCCTTGGGATCTCCAGTATCTCCATATGTTGCCAATTTATTTATGTCGCATATTGAGTCTCTTATTTTTGCCAGTAACAACAGACTATTCATCTGGCCCAGATATGTACATAACACATTTGTCATTATTTAATAGACTATTTTTGGAAATTTCTCCAAACACAAACAAGTTCTCGGAAAACATGAAATTCACTTTCACAAAGGAAGATCAACATAGTGAACTACCGTTCTTAAAGTGTCTAGTTAAACGAAATTCTAGTGGAAGTTTATATCTAAATTATTCCCCTAGTGCACATTCTGTACTTAATACTGATACATCACCTATAGGTACTGGTGCAGTTTTGAGCAGAAACGTAGACCAGTAATTAGTGTTCCATGCAAACCTACAGTTGCTGAACAAAGTTATTCACGAACTCAGTGAGAAGCATGAGCTGAATCTTGGACTGCTAAATGACTTCATAAATATTTATTTGAAAAAAACTCACTATTGTTACTAATCTTGATGCTTTAAAGTTCATTTATCATTCTGAAAAATCCTTAGCACGTATATCAGCTGCTTTGGTTCAACGATGGAGTATCGCTCTGAGTGCCTATAACCATACGATTAAGTCAAGAAGTCTCAAACAAATTCAACATGTCGACCACATTTATTGACATTTATTGCAAGATAAACCTGTTAATGTTGTAGATGGTTTATTAGTGCAAACTTTACCAACGAGACATTCAGATCTCATACGAGAAACTCGTCGACACTTTGGATGCGTACTTAGCGATATTCGAAAGGTTTGAAGTGCTAATCTGAAACGTAGAGTTCTCATCTATTTTTCGAAGCGGGATAAGTTATCCACCAATCCGGATGGTGTTTTCTGTTTAAATGATCGTGTTGTTATTCCTCCTTTATTATGTAAATCTGTTCTTGAAGGTTTTCATAATGGATATTTTAGCGTTGAGAAAATGAAATCCTTGTCAAGGTTAAATGCAGATATACGTCGTAGAGCAGACAATTATGGAGTATATTAAATCTAAAAATCATCCTTCGAATTGGACTCCATGGCCAATATCTACTGCTACCCGGCAGAGAATTTATTTAGACTATTGCAGTTCATTTCCCAACAAATAACTTGAACGTTTTCTCCATTAATTCTCTTTCCAAGGATGCTGAGGCTCTTTTCAAAACTTTGCAATGCAAGCATTAGTGGAAGATTTTAGTCGGGAGATGGTCCCTATGGTATTAGTGACCAATTATGGCTCTCATTTCCTTGCAGATACAGTCATTACCTAGTTGGACGGTATAGGACGCAGACATCTGTTCACTGCTTCCAGGCGTTGTATCTAAAGCCTGGATTCTTAATATAACGTGTGTGACCTGAGCACTCGGACGCTAGAACCCTCTCAATTCGTAAATAAGAAGACAGAAAACTGAAGAAAGTGCTCGTTGGACAAGAATCAAAATGTACAGAAAATCATGAGTATTTTCTAAATATTAATGTCTGTTCAATGAATATTATAAATCAACCAATCCGCAAAGAGGCATGTTATGTTACTGACCAATAGTAGCATGCCACGTTGTTATTCTACGTAGGCACAGAAGTACAAAAGTATCAAGACAAATTTCAGAGTAGTAGAAGTAGTAACAGTGTCAACTCTAGTAAAAAAGATTAGGTATCCTAAAACAAAAAAAACAGACATAAGATCTCTGAACTCAGGTTCTAAGGGAAGACGAAAACTGAACTGCTGCTTATTCCACTGCTGCTTCAACATCTGATGAATCAAACAAGAGGAGTGTGCACATTTCTACTACAATATAGAAATGCTTAACATTCCGTAGTGAAGAAGACACAATCAAAGCCATTAAAAGGTAGGATTTTCCGTTTGAATATGAGGTTTTTTGAATCTGCAGAAGTTACATATTTTGGTGGAAAGGATCTTCAATCATCCGAAAAGATTGTGGTGAAGAATATTGGAAAATTTATGGTTCGAATTCTAGATACCAATGATTTAAGTACACACAACTAACATGTCGATCAAATACAATCCCCTGAACCAGGTGAGTCTGTTCCAATTTCGGTTGTTAATTCTAATACTAATGGGCATACTCTAGATCATACAGAATTTACATCTAATACACAGTCGGATAGACATAAAATGAACCTAAGGAGAAGTACGATTGATTACAGAAATTTAAATTCCACTTCAAACTGTTGCGGTAGCGGTAATTGTACTAATTGACGATTCCTTTGTACTTGATTGCACACTTATCACGAGTCCAAAATATTATACGTTCACTTGTGTTCATCTGGTTCCAACTGCTTTAAATCGCATTATTTTGGAATTCCTAGTAAGCACATTAATTCGAATACTTCTAGTAATCTTACAAAGATAACCTTGGTAGTGTAGTTATTAGTTCGTTCATAAAACAGCTTTCATATGTATTTTATTGTTCACGTTATTTAGTGTAGACGCTGACCATCTGCAGCAGCTTCTCTGTTTTTCACTACATCTTTTCGACAGAATTTCATAGATCAGATACCATGTGACAATTGAGTCAACTATGCCCTCCAGTTCTCTTCTTAGCTTATTGTGACATTTAATAGACATGCTTGTAATTCTGCACATATACATTTTCTGTATATGTGTATCTGTACACTAATTATATTATCCATTCCCTTTCTCCATATTGGTAACATTTTGAGTTAACGAGAGAAAATTTAATGTTTTTGTAGTAAATCGGGTCAAAATCTCTGATCCTACTCGGAATTTGCGAAATGAAGTTATTTCGTAACATTTCATACTTCGACTTTTGGATTCGACGTTGTACAAACATGATAAGTCAATGGTCAACTATGAAATGAAATATCAAATGAGTAAACATGAAAAAATATAGACAAAAGTAGCTAAATCATTTCTTGTCCATAAAAATTAAGAAAATCTGTTTTTCCAATCTAGTGTCTCAAACCAAATACATCGTGAAGTGTAATAAAAATACGCTATTTAGCGTATTTTTATCAAGCAGCTAGAACAGCTGTGATTTTAGCGAATGAAGAACAAATCAATGGAGGCCTTTTTAGAGAAGCCTAGTTGTCTGTTCAGTATGGTACAAGAATTAAAACAAAGAAATATCCATGTTCCATTTGAAATGTTTGAAAATTTAACTTTGTTACATTCTTATATACTTGCAAAGGTATGTTATTAGTTTTGTTTACAAAATATTGTAAATAATAGTTTATTTTCCTTTGGATTTAATAAATCAAGAAAATATGTAGTTTACATTAGATAGAAACTAAAAATAAATTAATTAATTATACTAGTGTATTGTGATAAGTCAATGAAAACTATTTAATATCGTGTTGCTCCCCCCATACACTTGCTTTTCTCCAGGTCTAATTGTACGGCTAAGTTATTTAACACAAGTATGTAGTGCAATCCTGAATGATTAAACATATTTAACATGGCTCCTTGAAGTTAAACTCTTTGCTGATAGATGATGAACATTAAAGGTCAAGTATTTCTGCCAACAACTTAAACAATAAACGGAGGTTGATTAGCCGTCAAGTTTTCTCCGAGACAAAACATATCAGAACGAACCTAATGTAATTATTATGAAAAGGAAACTGATTTATGTCTAATCTGGAAAGATATGACATGTTAAGAAAGACATTTGATGACCGATAAGGTTAGGATATTAAAGTCTTTTGGGAGGGATATGTTAGTAATATTTTTCAGTATCCTCGTCAAACAATTTTGAACGAGGTAAATTACGCAGTTATTTAAGTAGTTACAGATCAATCTGCTATTTATAAGGATACCAGATTATTTTTAATGATGGATTCGTAGAATTAAGATATGGTCTATATTTTTAGATTATTTAATTAAGCTTGAAGGTCAGAAAATGCACACCAGTGAAGTACACAATAAGGTAAACCAATCGAGCATAAATTTGCCTTCCCTGTAACGTGAAAGTTTTACGGTAAAGCTGGTCTCAGTAATGATTAAAGTATACATCAATGCAGGCTACAGACTTTCATCATAGTTGAACTCGTTGACCTGAATGTCTACCCACTTTTCTAAAGTACAATTTTATTGGTTTAAAACTCAGAAGATAATAGTGTGACAGACAGTCACAAAGCATATGTTTTCATTTTTCCTTACCAACAAATCATCTACTTCTATTGTAACTTTCAAATCGTTCTTTTATTTGGCCTATAGGTTCAGAAGAGAGGATCTATGACACTAGTATTGATTTATTTCAGGCATACATGTCATAGGTGTCCTCAAACAGGTTTTTTTTTCAGCACTCAACAATGTTCTTTGATTAATCACTTGAGACTTATATGTATCTTTATTGAATTTTCACGAGAATCAGTAAAATGCAAAACACTTGGTTAGTGAACAAAATCAGATATTCGATACAAACACAAGACAAAGTGGAACGCCTATATTCTAAGCAAAAACTAATAGGTTTGAGTCCCGATATAAATATTAACACTGGCATGTAATTGTATCAGTCTCAAATACAACGAGGCACGCATTCTGTATTCTGATATTAGCCACTATAAAACTTCACTAAAATTTTCTTCATTTGTTTAACTTTACCTAAATCATCACTTATCTACTTATGTGTCCATATTAGTAACTTCAAAAAGTATCCCTTTCTACTACTTATATATGTATGGTATTTTTTAATGAAATGTTTATTTCTCTTGTAAGGTTCATGTTAAAAATGGTGAACATTTACTTGGCGCCAGAATGTTAATTCGTGTATCAGAGAGTATAAGTAAATTTCCTGCTCGTGAGTTACAAAAAATTTCAATAACTCATTGAAGTTTAGTGTATTAATCATAAAACATGTTTACTTATTTCATATGGAACATATTAATTCAAAAATAAAGAGAATTCAGCGAAGAAAATTTTCTGTTCTCGGTGAAATCATTTACTTAACTTCTAGTCCACTAAGACGGCATCCAACGGTGTTAATGTCTTCAACAGTACAGACACGAATTGAAGCCAATCATCGATTAACTGCCTCATAACAGATATAAATGAGCTCCACTTATCAAGACTTCTCACTAGAACTCCACATTCCTTAATTCTCAAGACTCAGAATTCAAGTTATCATTCGGAGGCCTACATATGATCTAGTAAAAAAAAAGCCTACCAGAAGATAAATCCAGTCAGTATCAGTAACATAGGACAACATTAAAACTGGGATCCTAGCGAACCCAACTGAAGAGTCCCAAATAAACTGAATTACTTATCTAGAATTTCATTGCTAGTCCGAGTTAACCGTTAACCTCTCATCATACCCTAATAAATAAAGGGAACAGAAGTAAACAGTACAAAACATTGAAATTAATACTCTCATATTCTATAATACGATTAAGTTTACAGAACTTCCTCATCTTAATTAGATCTAATATAAAATTGATAAATATAAGCCTATGTCATCACATGCGACGAATTAAAACAGATTATTGGCGCGCTATCACTAAACGAGTATATAAAATATCTATGACAAGGAATTTCTAACCAAATAATTTTCTTCAATAAAGAATACACAATTGATACTAAACATACTATGAACTTAATAAAGCAAACATTTAGATTTATCCTACTTTTCGGCAGAGATAATTCCCGAATCGAGTAGCTGTTTATGCGAATAAAAATAGATTCTTATGAATTTTAGGAATACTAAAACTATGATAGATCGGCAGATATATTCCAAACTCTAGTAATCCAATAAGAAGAATATCTTCTTCTCTAACATTATATTTGTTTCATGAAAGTTAATAAGACATTAGATAAACAAACAGTATATGTTTACAGTCCAATGAATCAATCACTTATTGAATAACAGTCTTAAATAAAGAATACAAATGTAGAATCCCTTACAGTAACAACAGGGAAATATATCTATATACACATAAACGATAAGTCAATGAAATAAAACAAAATACAAACTCAAATATTGCAGTTCAACGTCCTACAGATCTCATCTTTATAAAGTACTATGTCTGACTTTAGAATTACACTTTTGGTGGTCCCAAAATATTAAATATCGATTCCTCAGAATGCACTGCTCACATTCCATCACATGTTCATTAAATACGAATTTATAATGAGTATTACGAACAACTGAATTACAATAAATAAACGAATGAGTAAATATCAATGTACGACGTATAAATTTATTGATATAACTCGATGGTTTTATTCCTTGCATTTTCACTCAGGGAGAGCAAAAAACCCAGTATATTGTTAGCTCGCTCTAGACTCTATACTATGTGATCTGCATGTTCTAAGCTAACAATTGGTTTAAAAAATAAGGAAAAAATTCAAAAAAAAAAAAAAAGAACGAGAGGATTATCTCTAAAAGAAAATCAGTTCAGTAGAACGGAAACGAGAGAAACTAAAAATAAACATTCTCAGGAAAACAGCAAAGACTCACATTCAAGTTCAAGTGGTGATGTCGGATTCCATTCTTCACAACGAAAATTCCAACTGAAATACTCAAATCAAAAAAGAAGTGATATTTATACTAGAGGTTACCAAACATTCCTCGGAAAACGTAGACGAGGCAGTAAATCACATGTGAAAACCATATTCAGAAAACGTTCTGGCTACGATCACAATGGTCAAAAGAAACGAAGTACCACATTCGAAAGTTATGGTGAGGCAGACAGTTTTGATAGAAAGAAAATACGTGATGTGTTCGATGTGAATGGATACATTTCGGAGGGTCGGAAGCGTAGTAAACTCGGTGGATACATCCAAGAAGAACAACATGCGTTTATGTCAGGTGGACATAAGTCGCAACTTTCTCGAAATGATAGGAGATCTAGTGAGGGTGGGAGTCACTTCGTAAATGAAAAACATGATCAAACATCTAATAATCGTACTTTCGAAAGCATTCAAAGGGATTCAAACAGTACCCAATTGCCACGTCGAAAATGAATTAAATAAATATCTTAAATTTACACGTCTACACGTTAATGAATATTCATTGTTCGAAATTAATACTCAGTTTCCCATTACTGCTTCTTCGCGAATCACATCAAATTAAACTATATCAACCAAGAACTAGTGACATAAACTGACAATGAATTCCATCCATCATCTGTTCACATCAACAATCAATATGATTTTCTTACTACCAATCATTCATTCTTTTCTTTCAAATCATTTTTCACAATCAATGGGCGTTAGCTACATTAGGTTCACTCTCATCATCATATTGAGTCCTCGTTTACAAAATTCACTACTTTCATCTCCCTCATCACTGGAAGATGAAATCCGTTGAAAACCATTTGTATTCTTCTAAATCACATTTGCAAACTTTAATAATTCACTGTAATAGGTCATGCATTGTAAGAACAGGTGGGTAAATGTATTTGAAATCAAAAGACACCACAAACATTTCCTTGTATTCACGCCAATCAATCCAGACAAATTGCACCGTACACTTTATCTATTCACATGTGAATTACCAATCATGTTACAGGATGATCATCGTAGTTGAAACAAGAAAATGATAGAATAATCGTGTTTTCAATGCACTTGTCTATATATACATTTCAGTGCTTTCATCCTCAATTGTCTTAGATGATACCTACAGATGATTACACGTAGACAATACATTGGACCCTGTTCAAAATACATTGTACAAGGTTGTCATTTCAAACTGAACTTTATTCGTATAGGACGTAGTCTTTTTCTATAATAATAAAAATGTTCAGTTTATCCTTTTCAAAAACCAGAACATGTCTTCGGTACTTAGTAATTCTCTTCCATCCTTTCACATTTACTTTCACAAATAATTCAAGTACCACACCATTGTTGATTACAATGAGTTTCATTCATGTATCCACTTCACATCCATCACAAGGAAAGGATCCAATTGAAGAGGAGGGACCACTTTAGAGAATAAAAAATATCTTTAACAAGTGAAATCTTCCGACATTCGGTTACCAATTCATTATTCAAGATAACATGTGATTACTCTAAAGATATGATATGGATAGGATTAACCTATCTATTATCAATTGACTATCGATGTGTGGATAGAGTGAAAATTTTGTTGATTACATCAGTATTCAACGCAAACCAAACGACAACCATTTCACATTATGTTGATCACTGAGTAGTGAACAATATCTCGTATTTCATGTCCTTCATAATGCTGATCGATAGAAATGAAAATGTCAAGTCACTTAGACTACTCTTAACCACATTCCAGTTTGAAGAGTATAACAATTATATTACAAAAATATTTTTCGTTTTAAAGGAGATAAATTAGAATAATATACAGTGGTGTGAAAAGGAAGAAAGAGTAATGAATTAGATAATGAACATGATGTGTACAGATGGTAAGAAATAAGTGGACTTAATTATTTCTTCTTTCGAAGATGTAAAATGTACACAACAACTGACTTCCACATGATAATCTCCAAAGTTCTCAAAATATGGGAAATAATGCGCTAGAGTACGATTTATAACAATAATACAAGGAAGTGTAATAAATAACTAATGATAGTAGTTAACACAACAACAAAATTATACACACCAAACATCATCAACATAAATCTATAATAGAAAACCATGATTATTGATAGAAAATTGAAATCCTCTTAATAAACAACAAGAGAGTAAATTAAAATAAATGTATAGAATCAAGATAAATACACACAAAATTCGAATAGGTTCTCATCAGCTGCTTACAACCTAGATTATTTGAAATTTAAAGTTATTATAGATATTGACATACTTATACTTATACATAACAGGGCGATGAAGGATGAATATATGTAACATGACGTAGCAAAGATTTAGTTAGAGTTAATGAGGTCATAAAATTTTGTTTCGAATGTGTAGAGTTTGTGAGGGAAGGTTCCAGAACATTGAAATAGTGATTAGAAATCATGGAACTAAAACACATAAGATTATTATTTCAATGAAGCAACTGAAAATAGATTAATGTGAATTGAAATCGGTCAGTTATGAATGATGTGATTATAAAATTCAGAAAGAGTTGGAATGACGTAATAAATAAAGGGTGGGGTAATGTTACCAGGATAGGGGAGAGAGTAGTGTATGAACATATTATCAACATCAAATTACAAATAAACATTCTATTCTCTTTTTCTTAAAAATAAAATAGAAATTTTTCTAGTTTTCACTATCAAACAAATAGACGAATTTGTAAAAAATATGAATTTGTGATCGTTTGTTGATCACCTTGAAGGACTTCAGTATATCGACTTTGTGTCCTGTGTCGAGGAGATGTTTTGTGATAGCGCTGCTAAATGCTTTTAGTCCGTTTGTTCTCAAACCCTTCGGAATATGTACTTTGAATCGGACGTAGGCTCTCCTTTCTGTTCTACCAATGTAACTGCTTTGGCAGATACATGTAAATTTGTATACACAGTTGGTGGTATCATGAAAGGGATACCTGTCGACCTTTCATTGTGTCAAAGAACATTTCGTTTAGGACAGGACAATCAATTTAGCTGCAGGATATGTTTTTGTCAATGCAGTTTTTAGTCTCATATTGATTGACCCTGTGACATTATCGCCTTTGAATTTGAGTTGAATAAAAACAGGTTTTTTATTTACTGTAGTTTCTCTACGGCATTATACATATATAACCAACATTTGAGAGATTGATCAGAGCCACGTTGTTTGGTAATTATCACTTACGAAGAATGGAATTTGTTATGGATGCAGAATAATGTGCCAATCATTATCATGTTAAGTCTAGTGATGTCCTTGGAAGTTAAATGGACATTTCCTATTTGCCATTATTTATTTCATTCGTTAAATATTGTACAAATGTTGTTTTCTATTTCATGGTACGATGTGGTCTGTTTGGTTGGTATATAAATAGAGTATGTCTGAAATACAATGATTCATATCTCCGAGGCTGTGACTTGTGTTCTGGACTCAACTGACTGGGCTAGACAGGGAAGCGGGACCAATCGAGACTCTAGGCCGTCCGTACGTGTTTACGTGTCATTGAATCGATCGATAAATACGCTGTCTAATTTTTCAGTCAAGGACACAACAATTAGCACAGGGTAAAAATCGATCCAAGTTTAAAGTCATAACAGAATTTCATAGTTCATGTTAGTTTTCCTGTCATAAGATTAGCGATAAACAAGTAGAGACCATCAATTGTCAGACAGGTATTTGTCACTTTATTCTCTAATGATATGAAACAGACAGTAACATTTAACGTTAACATGATTAGTAGGAACCATTATTCATATTTTGACCAATTTTAGTAATGAGCCTATTTACAAGGAACAGATTTGTGAATTTGGCTTTGAAGTAGATCACCACAAGTGTATTATAAGCTCGAATAATATATCATTTCATCAATCGCTCCTTTGAGTTTGGTTTTTTCGAGGTTAGCCATGAAAATGTCTGCTAGGACAGTGCCTAACGGACTTCCCATTGCTACACCATCGGTTTGTCGGTATATAGTATTGTTGAATTTGGACTGAACATTTTTTTACACAAGAGGAATAGATGATTGAATTTGAAATGATATAAAGCCACGAGCACAAGTCATCGAACATGTTTTGTCGCAAATGCATTAATTTTCATTGGTTGGTAAGGGCTTGTATCACTGTCAGACTATCGATTACATAAATTCCGCTTACTACTGTAAAGCATCTAAAAATGAGAAATTTTACTTAGTTGAACGATGTAAAACCGAGAATGATATGGTCCACAAATTATTCAATTACCCAAAATATAGATTAGACGTAAACTTCTACACTCCAGTCATGGGTTGATGTATTTATGCTTTATTTATTTGAGAACAAACGGACTAAAAGCATTTAGCAGCGCTATCACAAAACATCTCCTCGACACAGGACACAAAGGTTGTGAAGAGATAAAGAATGTAAAGTGCGTATAATAAAAAGAACACCAACAGAAATTAGTGTACGAGAGTGAGATAATAATAATAACAATAGGAAAAACAGTTCAGTTAGCAAAACTAAAACTAGAAAGAATTCTTTCAGTCGTAAATACACCTCAGTCCTACAGAATGTCAGTGGAGGCACGGATAGCTCAATAATATGATGCTTGACTGTGAAACGGGGTCATAGAAAACCGAATCCGTCAGTAAACTTTAGTTCACCTAATTTTATGAAAGATTTTCCAGTCGAAGTTTTTCGACCATCATCTTTCTAACCTTTTTCTTTTACTTAGAACATACTATCACCTAATTCATTTTGTCGACCATTTTCTGTTTATGTTCCAACCGGTCCCAGAGTCGGCAAATAATGCACGACGTTGAATTCTCTGGGACGACATTGGTAAAACATGACCAAGCCACCGAAGTCGATGTTTCAAGATGGAATTTGACTCATTGAAAAGAAGTGGTAAACAATTCACGTTACAGGAACAATTTAACCTTTGTCACTGTAACGCAGCACAACAAGGTTATGCAGTTATGGATAAGGATACTATAATTTGATGACCTAACATTCGATTGTTAAAATGAAGGGAAAAAGTGAGGATCAGTATGTGATATGCAATGTTGAGAAGCGACCAAGTGATGGCTATCCACGAGACCGAATTATTGACGTAATCTCTCAATGAACTGATACTGGGAGACAGATGCGTTTTAACAGAAAATAAATGCGGTAAGATATTTTAAGAGACTTTAAAATATTAATTTTGACGTTCAGCTAATGAAGTAACTTCGCCAACCATATACTATGTACTGTATAAGGTAGGGTTGACCTTGAATATCAGGCCTAGTAGTAACAATCGTTACAACAATGATGATCAAAACAGAAATAATTAAGTCGTAGATCCCATGTTTTCATTCAACCAGTGGCTTTCGACACCTGCCATTATGAAGTCATTCAATATATACACATATACAATGATCTGTGAGCAACAATTACTAATGTGACTATTCACATCAAAATTAGGAAAAC